GAGACTTTGCAAGTGGCGCACTTTGCGACCCTGCATGGGTTCAGCCCATATAGCAGCCGCATAGGTGACCATTCTCTCGATAACGGTGAGATAAAGAACCTTTTGTATGTAGGGACTAATTCCCCATCCACGAACCTGCATTTGACGCAATTTACATGCAATTATAACAGTTCGTCTCTTTAGTTCCAAAACATGCGGCATCCAGTTCAGTTTCTCGTCAAAGATAACGCCGAGAAATTTGAGCTGCGGTTTGATAGGTATACGTGTACCATGGATGGTGATTCGAGGCCGTCGAACCAAAGATCCTCCTTTTTTAGGGATTAATAAAATTTGCGATTTTGGTTCGGAAATTGTTAATTTAATTCTAGAACATAAGTTATAAAAGAGATCACAGGTTTCAATAGCATTTCTTTGCAACTCTTCTCGAGTTCGTCCTTGAATGATAAAAACTGTATCATCTGCATACGCATATGCCCGGGTATATGCTGGCCAGTTTGCGGCAATAACAGAATTAAATGTTATATTCCATAAATAAGGGCCAGCACAAGAACCCTGCGGACAGCCTCTGTTTTGTTGTCTTGTTATAATGCCATGATTAGTGGAGTAGATAATTTTTCTTTCCGACAAGTAACTTTGAAATGCAAGAAATAAATTCTGAGGACAATCAGCTTGTCGAAGTGCCTCCAGTATTGCAGGCCACCACAGTGAGTCAAAAGCATTCTTAAGATCTATACTGATGAAAGCACTGTGGTGACCATTGTTGCGATTACGATGTATATCTTCTGTAATTTTTGATAATACTTGTAAGGTAGACCTACCTGGTCTAAAGCCATTTTGGTGATCACTTAAAAAGTGAATTTTGTGAAGATAATGTTTTAAACGGTAGACAATAATTCTTTCATAAACTTTCCCCGAAGCAGATAATAGACATATAGGTCGATAAGATGTGGATAATTGCGGATCTTTGCCTTTTTTGAGAAAAAGAACCACTCTTCCAGCTTTGAAGATACGAGGAAATATACCATTAAGAAATAACTTATTAAAATAATCACAGAAGAAGAAGATGTGGGAATTAATGATTACACGAATTATAGAATAGTCAATCCCGTCGGGGCCTGGGGCCCGTTTTTTTTTTTTTTTGGAATATTTCGAAGAGTGGTTTTAATTTCTGTAATTGTAATCTGTGGATCATCCTCTGTGTTAGGAATAGAAGTTTGCTGCCTAATTGACAAGTGCTCTGTGGAGTCATCTGTAATATCATCCTGAGGAAGAACTGATGCTAGAATATCATTAATAGTATTATCTATGGGCTAGACCCAGCAAGTGATGATTCTGAAAGATACGTTGATGCAGGCTGGCTGGAAAAGCTTATCTCGAGCGATCTTATAGGGTAAGCCAAATATTTCTCTATTTGATGTGCAGTATTTTCTCCAAGCTTCTATTTTGCTCTGCATAATTATCCGTTTATACAGAGCACGCTCTCTTTGAAAAAAAACTTGAAGAGTATTAGATGTTATTCCATTGCGTCGTTCAGATTTTAATCGTCGCCTAAGCGCACGACACTTCCGCTGCTGTATGCGAAGATCAGAGTTCCACCAATGTAAAGTATGGAGCTGCTTGGTAGTTCGCTTTGGAAGTATTTCGTGACAAATATCTTGAAGATTTTGCATTAAGGACTCTGTGAAAAACGTTCAATATCTTCAGATATGGTTAAAGAGTTGATTTGGTGACGAAGACGATTAAGAGTTCCACGAACTTTTCGACTAAACTGATTAATTTTCCTGCCAGGAAGATTATAACGAGGTAAGATAGGTAAAGAACTATGTTGTGTTACTTCAAAAGTGATATATTTATGGTCAGATAATGAAATCTCATCTCTGACCGTCCAATTACTTGTTAAGTGAGAGGTATTGGCGGATGTAAAGGTCAGGACCGGCCAACCCACAGCATATAGTCTGTCGAAAGTAGGAATTGTATTCGTGGCATTTAGTAATACATAATTTTTAGAAGATAAGAAGTCTTCTAACAGACGGCCTTTGGGGTCTGTTGTTCGATAGCCCCAAGCAACAGAGTGAGCGTTAAAATCGCCGCTGATAATCTGATGTTTATTACCAAGAACTCTTGTATAATGTTCCAGGAAAGAGATTGTAGTGCTGATATCATCTGAGGGACTGGAGTAGATCGAAAATAATGCTATAGTAAAATTTTCTAATTCTAATAAAAGTGCTACTTGATCTTTAGTAATAGTAATAATTGATGGAGAGAATTGAGGGTTACAATTAATTATTGCTGAGCGTGGAGGATCTTCTGAATTTTCTTGATGATATACAGTCCATAATAAAGGAAAACCAACCACTTTGCCATGTCTAGTATATGGCTCTTGAACGAGAAGAAAATCAATTTTGTTGCTTAACGCAAACTCTATTGCCTGGGCAGTTGCAACTTGAGCTTTCTGAAGATTAATTTGCAAGAATTTGATGTTAGGAAACAGAATTACATGAAACATTATACTGGGCATCTCTACTCATAGGTGGTGATGCTTCGGATTCTGTCAATATTACTTTGGTAAACAGTAACAGGTGTTGGAGTTTGCTGCGTGGTCAATCGGGACTTGATATCTGCTGCCGTTGTTATAATCAATGCAATTGATGCATGCTGCTGTATCGGCATCGGCCGAACAGTCCTTGGTATCGTGTTGTCCAGCACACAATGCGCAATAGTGGACGCTGCGGCAGTCTTTTTGCAGGTGCCCAAAACGTTGGCACTTGAAACATCTTTTGACATTAAAGTGCTCAGTGATAAGGTGGCCTTGCCAGCCGAAGTAGATGCGAGGGTTGCACATGAAGGTTTGATATGCCCTTGGCCCTTGGGCTGCACTCGGCAACCCACTTGACATTGCGTCGCTGCTTTAGACGAAATATAAGTTTAACTTCGTCACTAGTGAGGCCAAAGTCTTCTTGTTTGGTAAGCTGTAAATCCTCCTGTGACAGATCTGGGGATAAATTATGAATTGCAATAAGGGGTTTTTTTGTTGTGGGATTCTTTACGTTAACAAATGTAGCTGCGTGATCAGACGTTAAAGTAGCTGCTAATTTTTTCCGATCTTCTTCCGACTGGCAGACCACCGCCAATCCACCGCGTTGGATAGGTTTGATCCGTTTAACTTAAACTCCAAGTTTCGGGAAAGGAAATTCCTGGGAAAGTTTATCTCTAAGCTTCCTGCTAGTTGTGTTCTCTTTTGGATATATTAGTAAAGTAGGTGTAAGAGCTGGCGGAAGGGATTGCTGTAATGCAGATGCGTAAGAGTGTCCAGGAGCTGGAGAAGGCAAAGCAGAGGGATTTGGAACTAAAGGAACTTGCTGCAGAGATGAAATAATAGGTGGGTTATGAATAACTTCACAGCAGACCACTGTTGATGTATTCACCTCAGCCTCAACTGTGGCTGGTTTCGGGATGTAATCCGGGCCCTGAAGAGCCAATTGCCGTAACGCATCCAATGAATGGAGCAATTTTTCTCGTGGTTCGAAAGGAAGTGTATACTTTCCTCCTCGATAGAGAGTTGCAATGGCACGAATATGATCGTATAACAAATTAACTTTGTCACTATAATTGTTATCAGTTGCAAGCAATGCAGTAGGATCAAAGTTGTCATTCACTGGGTCATCCGTAAACGAAACTGATTGTTGAGGCATAGCGATGCGTGAATATTACATAAGCTCACACTAGGTAATTAATTTCCCATAAGAAACAGACTGGTATAATATAATTACAAATGACGTTAATATGCTTTATATCAGTAAAACATAATGAATGTGAAATATAAACAGAGAAATAATATATTATTATATAAAATAATATATAATCAATCAAAAATATGTATACGATATGTAAAGGCACACACAGAAAAGGCTCAGAAAGATATAACACAGTTAAAATAACAGTAAACAGTCTTAAAAACTATGGAGAATACACTGTAAGGAGTTTGTCGAAATTGCACTCGACGACGTGAAGGAGTTGTGTCGAAATTCACAACGTTTCGACAAAATCAAGTATCATGTTTTTAAACTAGTATTCCGAGCCCAATGAACAGACCCTTTGGGGTTACTAGCATATTTTATAAAGTTTCAGACAGCAATCAGAAAATTAAGTTTATTTGGGTCCAGATTTTAGCTAAGTTCCAGAAAAGGTTAGTCTTAAAATACTAATATCGAAGATAATGCAGTTATAGCCATATTGAAAATATAATATAATAGTATATGAAGAACTTACCAATTTGCCGAAAACCCGGTAATCCTAAGTGCATTAATTACGAAGATATTGATTTTTGAAAAGAAATCACAGATTTCTGGACTTAGAATTTTTTCGACGGACTTCCTAAGCCTAGTACGGCAACCACGTGGTGGCCGGGCGGCACCCTTCCGTTACAAGGACGGCATATGAGGTGAACAAAATTATTGAACACACTTTTTCACAAATTTTTTTAAAACTACGATGCACACATACTAATGCGATGTATCCTTGGATTCAGCACACATTCACGCACAATTTAATTTATCACACGCACTTCGCACTGTGAAACTTCCACTTGAAAAATCGAAAAATAGCAGGAGCGCAACGCAGCATGCTCTTCACAGGTCGACTGTCCAAACCGGCTCAGACAGCTAAATGTATATATATATATATATATAATATATATACATCTAGCTATATATATATATATATATATGCCTTAGTGGTTTAAATGGCGCACAACTTTGAAAGGTTATTAGCGCCAGATGCATGTTGACAGTATACGTTTAAAACACACAAAACAATTAAGCACAATCACAAATTTTACACAACAGACACATAAAACCAAAAGAAGTAATAAAATGATTAATGTTTAAATGAAGTTACACATGATTTATATAAAAATATTAAATGTGAAGCAATGACTTAAAATACATTAAAATACAAGGGTGTTATCAAATCTGATGATAAAAACCTGTTTCTTTCAAATTCTAAAATAAATTAGTATTGACATCTTTCCTGATTATTCGGTCAAGAGGCAATTCAGAGCCATTAAAATACTTTAAACGAGGTGAGTTAAAATACACGCAGTCAACTAAAAAGTGTCGAACTGTCAGAATACTCCCACAGAAAGAACAAACAATTTCAATCTCGGTCTTTAACAGGTAGCTGTATGGGACACGAGAGTGATCAATCCTTAGACGTGTTAACATCACTTCCTCCCTCCGGTTTCGTAAGGAGTCCCAATACTCAATTAGAGGTTTCACGCTTTGTAGTTTATTGAGTACCTGAGCATCCCACAATAGCTGCCACTTCTCTAGGATTTTTCTCTTGACAACCTTCTTAATATCCGTCAGAGGAACATGCTGGTTGCACAAATCAACAGCAGATTTGGCTGCGATATCTGCCAGTTCGTTTCCCCTGATACCAACATGGCCAGGGACCCAGCAGTACAGAATTTCGTAACCACGCTTTTTCAACTTTAAAGTTAACTTGAGAATATATACAACAACATGACTGTGAGTGCTGGAAGCAGACTCTAAAAGTTTCAAAGCACTGTACGAGTGTGTATAAATTATAAATTTTTTATGGCATAGATTTGATGTAAATAGAAGCGCACAATATATAGCAGATAGTTCTGATGTTAAGACTGAGGAAGGGTGGTGCAAACCTCTGCCCTCCATGTGGCAATTACAAATGCCATCCCAACATGACCAGTTGACTTGGATCCATCTGTATATATGAGAACGTAACTGCTATATTTATGCCTGTACTTAGCAAAAAGTTGTCTGTAGATAGTCCCGTTAGTGTTTATTTTAATGTGATTGTGGAAAACATCAATCAGATGGATTTCTGTGTTTTTCCAAGGTGGAATTTGGAAATGCTGTACTGCCCTCATTTCCAGCCTTACGGGTGACAACGCAACGATTTCTCTCCGTTAGAAACTCGAAACAAAGAGATGTGACAGAATCTCACTTTCAGCCCGAACCTCCGAAAAGGAAAACCACAAGGGCGGAAGAAATAAAAATAATAGAGAGAAGGAGAGATGAAAAGGAAAGGACGAAAGATTATTAAGGGCTCCAGGATCGTTACCCCCGTCTCACCAAGAAAGTGTTCCCTTGAAGGGCTAGGGTAGCTTGGAATTGCCACGCCCGTACTCACAGAAGGTGTGCCAGAACACTTTCTGTGAGACCTGCATTGTTGTAAAATGTAGGTATACATCATAACAACCAACCAAGAATTAAGCAAATGAGATAAATAGTAAATTGCAAAAATGCAGAGGTGAGGCAATAAATAATAGAGGAGAAATATTTACGGTAACAGAAGCTGTAAATAATGCGCGGCCTTATCATGAGCAGACAATGTATAACAATCGACCATTGTTTCTTGATGAGCTGCTCGATTCTTATCTAATTTAGAAGATTTAGAAATTTAAATATAAAATAATAAAGCTAATATCAATAAAACCTACACCGATATTTTCTCTTCCTCACTATATATATAAATACATATAAGAAACAGATAAAGTATATATAATTAATTTCTACCAAAAGAATGTGAATTTCTTAACAGGAAGGTACAAGTTGAAACAAATGAATCCAGCCACTTGAAGTACCTGCAGTTTATCAGAAGTTTTCCGTTTAAGATTATTAGGAGTCTTTGGACGAAGCTTACATTTGGCTGAATGAGGCAATCCACAGTCAATTAGAACAGCTAAACTTCGAAATCCACGTAGCTTCAAATTCGGTACATTTATGAGCTAAATCACATTTCACATGCTTCAGAGGGAGCTTACATTCATCCGAAGAAAGGTTAAAGTGTTGCCAATTATTGCACTGAACCGTACTGCCTTTAAAGTCATGTGCTTCAGCAGATACAACAAAATAAAAGATATTTTAAATTTCCTTCTAGTAAAAAGGGAATTTATTGCTCAGTTTAATTTGTTTTAGAATGTCACTGAATTTTATAGGAGGAATATAATTGGTTTCGGCTTCACATCTTTCTAGGGAACTTTATGTAAATTTATATTCTCATTTTCATAGTTATTTATAGCACTACTGTCGATATTCATTTTCTCAAATTTATTAAAAGTATAATAAATCAGAATGAAAATAACTAATGCGATTGTCATGTGAAATTGTCGGCCAGTGCAAAACACGGACACTATCTGTATCCAGGAAGATCAGGACAACAGGGACAATATGCAGTCTCGAATTAGCTTGTTGCAAAATAGCGTCAACGTGCCTCGAAATTGTAATGCACAGCTAAGGGTCTAAACGCATCATAAGTCTAATGACGGTTGTATTATTTTTATATATTAAGTATGTGCTCAGTGATGGTAACGTGATGTATGCTAATCTACTATTCTATATTACAGTTATGATTAATGATAATAATAGATACAGTTACATACATACGTAATATATCCCTTTTTATCAACAATAATAATAGTAAAATTAAACGTATTCTTTTAAACGATAAAGTTTCTTAACAGTCCTACCAGATCGAGTAACGTAGTTATGTCCATTTGAAAAATTTGATGATACTATATCTCTTTTACTATTTGGTGACACAACACTTCTGTTAGGTTTTGAAGGACTTACAGGCACGTCTAAATTTGAAGTGCTCCTGCTATTCTGAAGTACATCTCGGGTTCATCTATAACTTCATTATCATAGTTGTTTTGTATTAAAAACTCTTTCTGATCAGTTCCTTTAAGAATGTCTCTTCGGTTTCTATCTACTGTTCCTCCACCTGTTCTTAAAATCCTGTATGAACGGGGTCTTTCTGCTTCTTCTATAATTTTCCCTCTTACATTTAGTTTTTTCCCCTTTCTCTTTTATGTCTATGTTCTATGTTTCTCTTTTATGCCGAAGAGTCGGGAGCTGTGCTGTATGTCGTGGAGTGCATCGTGAGTTTTAACGTGGAGATTCTCGAGAGCACGTGGAGTTCCAATAACGACCAAGCAGAGTCGAGAGCTGTACTCTGGTGCTTTGCAGTAAAGCTGTGTCCACCGTTATAGCTTGATAACCTGAAGCCTGTGTCGCTGATTGTTCCAGCGAATGTATAGTAGATCTTCTACAACTGTAAAATGTGACTTTGGAACTGTCCTGATTAATATTGGTTAAATAAAGTGTGTTTCGATACTTCATCAAGTGTCGTCGTTGTTTACTCCAAATCTACGAACCTTCTAATCTAACTAATCTACGAATAAGAACCCGTACGAACGTAATAGAAGAAAATAATATAACAATATCTTTACGGTTATCCATAAGTGAGCCTGCGTGGTTCTTTAAAAAAGAGATCTTTTTCAATCTACGGTCGACTACGCCATTCATTGTTTTTATATGTTGCGTATGCTCAGTGATGGTAACGTGATATATGCTAATCTACTATTCTACATTAAAGTTACGATTAATGATAATAATAGATACAGTTACATATATAACAGCGGTTGTCAGCGATTATGGGCTATGCGTAAGAGAGTTGACTGAGATGTGTAGCCAACAGCACACTAAAGCGACACTTCAGATTCTCAGCTCGCATGGCGAGGACGAATGCAAGCCGGTATCGCTCGTCCTTCTCGGCACTCATACCCATGGATAGGTCCACCATCATGCTGTAAGCACTACCGTGATTCGTCTGAAAAGACAATGTGGTGCTACTTCTGCCTCCAGTGTCGTTGTTTATGTAGTAACACCAATGTAGCATGACTGTTATGTAGTAACACCAATTGCAGCATGACAGGTGCAATGTAGGCGCACCTGTCATGCTGCAGAGTACAGGGAAGTAGCACCAGCCGTTCACCGTGCTGACAGTTCTTGGTGTTGTAGATGTTGTCGGAGACTTTTCGGACTGCACATGAGCCAAGGTCCTGATACGTTTACTTAATGTTGCTGCGCGATCTTGCAAGCTAGAAGATAAAATATCCGCTTTATATACCATGTGGACGGCAGCTAAAAGAGAGCTTGTCTATACATGTTGAAAGAAGCAAAGGCAAAATGTCACATTATAAGGAAAATTTAGTTTCAAATAACGTGAAATAAAAAACAAAATATAATATATTCAGAAATACAATAAGATACACTTTTCTCTTACAATTTCAGTCATGACTAAAAATGAATGTAATGCTACTAGATAAAATAGATTTTACTGTGGAACATACAGGAATGACCAGTATGCCATAAGCTTTCAATACCTAAGTACACATATACTATCATATACGAATTTTAAATGACCAGCGTACAAAAAAGAACCATACAAAAATTGCAATAAATTAGTTGTAAAATTTATGTCTAATTACCAAAGAATGAATTAATTGCGAACAAATGATAAAATATAAATAACAAAATGCATGCACAATATTTCCAAGACATAAACGCAAAATATTAAAAAACTATCATTGCAAATTTACATGAAATTATCATATCGTTAAAAAATAACTGCTTTACTGTGTTATTCTGTGAGTTTTACTTTTACAAATATTTGATGTTACCCAAGTTCTCATTTCTGTAGAACAAGAAGGAACGTTCTAAGACCAAACACTTAAATAATTAGCTTACGAAATTTTGATTTACCAATCAATTTTGGAAATATTTTTAAGCTTCCTTTAAGTCATTTGAAAAAGAAATAAGTCTTTCGTGAATGCAGTTTTTTTTTTTTTTTTTTTTTTTTTTTTTTTTTTTTTTTTGAATAAATCCTAAGAATTCTTCGAGTCGAATATTTTCATGCTGACGTCGCAACATTCTTTGCTCTGCAAATTGGCTGAATGGCAGAACAAATGACATTTTCAGCACCATAAAGTTTCCAGGTCTTCGTGTAAAGCTTTTGCTTTTCGAAATGTAACATAAAAAGAATTGGCTTAGATTCTGAGAACAAATGGAATCTAAACGATATTTAAGTACGATAGCAAATGTAACGATCAACATAACACGGTAAGCTCCATTCAGACGAGGGTTTTTCGGCAAAAATCGAGACAACTGCTATTTTCTAAATAACTCGACTGCAATAGATTTTGTATTACGTAAGTGTTTGCATTCAATACACATTGCTCTTTTATGCTGAATTGTTCAATATAAGTTCCAGCTATGTATCCTTAAACAAAAATCACTTGAAATTTCAAATTCAAACTATGCTCTGTTACACATAATTTAAAATTTATAAAAAAAAAACATGTTTTCTGGCAAAAGAATAAATATAATTTAACATTCTTTAGTTAATATTTTGAATTTCTCAGTTAATTGATAGGTAAATTTACATGCCGTTGTAGGATAGAAATCTTTGACAGAGTCTCTCTTCACATCTTAAGTTAGTGTTAAATCATAAAACATGTCATTCGTAATAATATAATGATATTAAAACTTATTGGATTCAAATATATGCTTACTGAATTAATCAGTTAGTTTTATAACTGGAAAAAAAAGGCTATTATTGTCACAACTGTGCATCAATTACCTGTTCATGCATAAAAGACAGATACTGTTTAAAGAGGAATGAAGCTTTGTATGTAAAATAATTTTATACGTTTTACTGTACATTAAGACTTTACTATATTCAATTAAGACTTTACTATATAAGATTAACTTTACTATATTCAAGTGTTCAGTTAAGTATATATTTGCTTAGGACGTTTTATTTCCATGTAATTTTGCAAATACATGCAATAATATTTGCTTTTATTTTA